TTCCTTATGTCAGAAACCGCTGACGTTTCAGCCAACTTTGTGTCTATTGAAGAAAAGGTTGAAAATCTATGGAAAATGGAAGCGGGAAATGATGATTTTTCAATTTCACAGGATGACCGTAAGGTTCTTTCATTGTGGGAAAACACAGTTTCCAAGGAAAACGACCATTACGTCCTCCCTATTCCCTGGACGGAAGGTGTGCCTAATTTCCCTGACAATTACTTGGTTGCTCTCCATCGCCTAAAGGGGTTGGAGCGTAGACTTAGAAGGGATGACATGTTCAACAGGTATGATGAGAACATGAGGAAATTGCTCAGCGAGGGTTACGCTGAGAAGGTCCCTGAAAAAGAAATTGATTGGCGCAACGAATCTGTTTGGTATATCCCTCACCATTGTGTCACGAACCCATCTAAGCCTGACAAACTGCGCATTGTGTTTGATTGTGCCTGTAAGTGTCAAGGAGTCAGTCTCAATGACCAGTGTTTGCAGGGCCCCGACTTGACAAATACGCTGATTGGCATACTTTTGCGTTTCCGTCAATTTAGATATGCCATAATGGCGGATATTGAATGTATGTACTACCAAGTCATAGTCCCAGAAAAGGACAGAAATGCTTTACGCTTCTTATGGTGGGAGAATGACTCACTCGTGCATTATCGTATGCGCGTTCACCTGTTTGGAGGTAAGTGGGCAGGTAGTGCTAGTTGTTTTGCGCTTAGGCGCACTGTGCAGGATCATGACGTCACTGATTTGGTGCGTGGGACGGTTCAGCGGAATTTTTACATTGACGACATGTTGAAGTCTGTGAAGACAAAAGAAGATGCCCTTGAGGTAATTGTCGATGTGAAAAGGGCTCTTCGTGATGGGGGTTTCAAACTTACCAAATTTGTAGTCAATGATTCTGAGCTGTTAGATGTTATTGCCCATGAAGATCGGGCAGTTGAGGTGAAAGAGCTGACTCATGGGGTGCATGCAAAAGCGTTGGGTATGATGTGGGAAGTTGATTTGGATGTTTTTCACTATACTTTCAAAATTGACAAAGGTCAGGAGATTACTAGACGCAATATGCTGAGCGTAGTGGCCAGTATGTATGACCCACTGGGTTTGATTGTTCCCGTCGTTTTACATGGGAAATTGCTTTTCCAGGAGGCGACAAGGCTGAAATTAGATTGGGACGATTCCATTCCTCATGAATTGTCAGTCGCGTGGATTGACTGGATCCAATCTTTAGAGGAATTGAAAGATCTCAAGTTTATGAGATGTGTCATTCCAGAGGAATGTTCAGCTGGAGTATCAGAACTACACGTATTCTGTGATGCAAGTCAGCACGCTTTTGGAGCTTGTGCATATGTGCGATCAGTCAATCCTGACGGAAAAATCCATGTTGCATTATTAGCTTCTAAAGGTCGTCTCGCTCCATTGAAACAAGTTACAATTCCCAGACTGGAACTGTCGGCGTGTGTCACAGCAGTTCAACTTGATTCATTAGTGCGTCGCGAGCTCGACTTAGACCTAATGCATACAACTTACTGGAGCGACAGTAAGGTTGCCCTGGGTTATATTTCAAATGAATCTAGGCGTTTTAAGACGTTTGTAGCAAATAGGGTATCTCTGATTAGAGAAAATTCTGACCCTAGTCAATGGCGTCATGTCCCAGGAAATGTCAACCCGGCCGATGTGTTGTCACGCGGTTGTGACTCATGTGATATACCAAAAACCTGGCGTGAAGGCCCGGAATTTTTGAAAGACCACAAGTCTAACTGGCCGGCGTTTGAGATGGTTGATATCTCTGATGACGCGTTAATCGCAACATGTGAATTTACTGACTTGTCTGAAGTCGATGACGCGGCTGATGCTGGCGCGATACGGGAGTCTATTTTGGATAGACTTTTTCAACAATTTTCAAGCTACTACAGATTGTGCAAAGCAGTAGCGTGGCTGCTTCGATTCCGTGATTTTTTGCATACGAAAGTCGTGAAAAGGGGTCAAATCAGAGCAACTGAATTGAAGGAAGCGGAGCTTTGCATAATTAAAGTGGTCCAGAAGACTGCATACTCCGGCGAAATTAGAGACTTGCTAAAGACCGGCCGCGTTTCTAAGTCGAGCGCGATTTACAAATTGTCTCCAATCATGCGTGACGGCGTTTTGGTCGTAGGCGGTCGATTAGTGCATTCTTTTATGGAATGCAAGCAACCTCCGATTTTGCCGAAAGATCATGTTGTTTCTGATCTTATCGTCCGTGAATTTCACGGTGACGCTCATTTGGGCACCGAGTGGACTCTTAGCAACATCCGCAGAAAATTCTGGATTGTTGGTTGCAGAAGTATTGTTAAAAAAGTTGGGAAAAGGTGTGTAGTTTGCAAACGATTGTATTCATCACCTATGATACAGAAAATGGCAGATTTACCAGACGTGAGATGTCAAAGTGGAGGTCCCCCCTTTGACGTAGTTGGTGTTGATTTGTTTGGCCCCCTTAAGGTTAAGGTTGGCCGCGCGGTGGCAAAACGGTACGGCTGTGTCTTTACTTGTTTTAAAACAAGGGCTGTGCATATTGAAGTTCTGGACAGTTTAGAGACTGATTCATTTATTAACGGTTTCATCCGTTTTGTTGCTAGGAGAGGATATCCTAGCAAGGTATACAGTGATAACGCTACAAACCTGGTTGGAGCGGACGCCGAAATGGCGCGCTGTTTGCGTCAAATGGATAAGGCTAAGGTCATATCTGAAGCTAGACGTAAAGGTATTGATTGGGTATTTAACCCCCCTCATGCATCACACTTTGGAGGCGTGTGGGAACGAATGATAAGGACTATCAGGAAAATTCTCATGGCTCTCCTTGCATCCCCCTCAAGCAGATCGTTGTCCGATTATGTGTTGCAAACAGTGATGTGTGAATGCGAATGTATCATAAATGGTCGGCCAATAACACGTAGCAGTGACGATGCATTTGATTTAAATGCACTGACTCCAAATCACTTATTGGCTATCCGTGGCATCCATTCTCTTCCCTGGGGTGATTTTCATACTGCTGACACGTACAGGAAATTATGGAGACATGCGCAATACATAGTTTCTCAGTTTTGGAAAAGATGGACAAATGAGTACCTGCCGTTGTTGCAATCCCGTTCTAAATGGCAGTATGCAAAGGAAAATTTGAAAGTAGGTGATCTCGTACTTATTGTAGATGCATCTATGCCCAGAGGACTGTGGCCTTTGGCGATTGTTGAATCTGTTAAGGTCGGCAGAGATGGCTTGGTAAGAAGCGCTTCTGTGCGTACCAATTCGTCAACTTTTGTGAGACCGATCTCTAAACTGGTGTTGTTAGAAGGAGATGTTTAGATGTTTAAGGATTTTTGAGGATTTGTCTAAGATAAACAAGTGGACACTTTCTAGATTCTGTCTTTTAAATTAAGTATTGAGTATGATAATTCTATTAAGAACTGGAAGACAGTAATTATTATTATTATTATTATTATTATTTTTTTTTTGTGGGCTGAGTGTTGCCGACAGTGTCGTCGGCAATTTTTTGTTTCGTTTGTTTGTGTTGTTTGTCATGTTTACTTTGTGTTGTCTCGTCTTGGTGTGAGTGGCGCCCTCATATGTTGGATGATTGGTGTTCTGTTGAGTGGTAATAAAACGTCACCATGTATTGTCATGGTTGGAACACGCCTAGTACTGTACGCGAATGAGTGGAGGCAGCATTGTTATTTCACAATGGCATCAGAAGAGTTAGTACATGTGCGTCGTGCCCGTAAGGGCGCGGTCACAAAGGCTATTGGACACATCGAACGAGCAGTCGCGTGTGAGTGGCGCCCTCATATGTTGGATGATTGGTGTTCTGTTGAGTGGTAATAAAACGTCACCATGTATTGTCATGGTTGGAACACGCCTAGTACTGTACGCGAATGAGTGGAGGCAGCATTGTTATTTCACTGTTGCGAATACATAAACATAATTTTCCGGTGGAGGTATGAACTTTTATTTACACACGTCTTGACACAAACTGATGACGGTGAACTGAAATAATTGAAACAATGAAACAAATGAAAGTAACAGAATAAACAAATATAAATTTCAACATGTCGTCAATGTAAAAATTCCGCTGAACCGTCCCACGCACCAAATCAGTGACGTCATGATCCTGCACAGTGCGCCTAAGCGGAAACGCAAAAGTATGCCAATCAGCGTATTTGTCAATTTAGATATGCCATAATGGCGGATATTGAATGTATGTACTACCAAGTCATAGTCCCAGAAAAGGACAGAAATGCTTTACGCTTCTTATGGTGGGAGAATGACTCACTCGTGCATTATCGTATGCGCGTCCACCTGTTTGGAGGTAAGTGGGCAGGTAGTGCTAGTTGTTTTGCGCTTAGGCGCACTGTGCAGGATCATGACGTCACTGATTTGGTGCGTGGGACGGTTCAGCGGAATTTTTACATTGACGACATGTTGAAGTCTGTGAAGACAAAAGAAGATGCCCTTGAGGTAATTGTCGATGTGAAAAGGGCTCTTCGTGATGGGGGTTTCAAACTTACCAAATTTGTAGTCAATGATTCTGAGCTGTTAGATGTTATTGCCCATGAAGATCGGGCAGTTGAGGTGAAAGAGCTGACTCATGGGGTGCATGCAAAAGCGTTGGGTATGATGTGGGAAGTTGATTTGGATGTTTTTCACNATGGTGGGAGAATGACTCACTCGTGCATTATCGTATGCGCGTCCACCTGTTTGGAGGTAAGTGGGCAGGTAGTGCTAGTTGTTTTGCGCTTAGGCGCACTGTGCAGGATCATGACGTCACTGATTTGGTGCGTGGGACGGTTCAGCGGAATTTTTACATTGACGACATGTTGAAATTTATATTTGTTTATTCTGTTACTTTCATTTGTTTCATTGTTTCAATTATTTCAGTTCACCGTCATCAGTTTGTGTCAAGACGTGTGTAAATAAAAGTTCATACCTCCACCGGAAAATTATGTTTATGTATTCGCAACAGTGAAATAACAATGCTGCCTCCACTCATTCGCGTACAGTACTAGGCGTGTTCCAACCATGACAATACATGGTGACGTTTTATTACCACTCAACAGAACACCAATCATCCAACATATGAGGGCGCCACTCACACCAAGACGAGACAACACAAAGTAAACATGACAAACAACACAAACAAACGAAACAAAAAATTGCCGACGACACTGTCGGCAACAGATATATTTGAGCATGTGGTTCGGGTTCCACATTTTTGTAACAGACTCAACGGAACTCATCTTGGAATTTATTTTACAACCTTATATTACCTTTTTACTATCTTCTGTCACCAAATTAGCAACGGAAAATTACTTTTGAGCCCCCAGAATAGTATCATTTTACCTAATACAAGCGAATGAGGATCACACTGAAATGATACAATTGGCAATAAAAAATTATATATATATATATATATATATATATATATATATATATATATATATATATTTTTTTTTTTTTTTATCAGTACCTGTGTCCTTTAACTAAATTTAATTCTATTTAGAAAAAAAATCAAACATATATTACACATAGCAAACTAGGGCGCGCATATATGATAATTAACTCTAATGAAATATACATGTTCATAAAACCCAAACAAATAATGATCTAAGGTTAAACTAAAACATAGTCCCACACATAACGTTTTTAGTTGATCCTTTTTGATTCCAGCGTGATAAACAAAAGACTGTGTTTTACATCTGTGGACTGTTGTCACATGTACATGGGGTAATCGGTCATAATTGTTTTGTTGATTTCTCCTAAGGATCAATGCAAAGATATGGCTGACACAAAATATGTATAAACAATGGCTTTTTCACTTTTCCCTATAATATCTGCCACCCTGGTAGAGGGTAGCTCCCCTTTGTCTGTTTGCATTCAAGGCGGTAGTGATCCACAATACCCGCAGGCTGTTCCCACTCTATGGCCGATTCTACTGCTGGAATACCCACAAGTTTCACAGCAGAGTCCCAGGTTGATTAAAATCTTTAGGGATATATGTTAAAGTTAAAGACCCTAGGACTCTATAAAGTCAGAAAGTGTTCCCAAAACAGGCTTATATCTTTTCCAGTCTCTTCTCCCCCTGCCGCTAACCGTCCTGACCATTCTTCATGAATCTGCAGTAGTTGAAAAGTGCAAATAGAATGTTATAATGTCTGGATTACTAATCCAGTCATTTTTGATCGTTGTTGCAAGGTTGAGGCTCCGGAGTATGAAGCGTACGTAGATATTTTAATATTTTAAAGAACAATCATCTCACTTCTTTTAAACTTAAAATAAATGTACATTGTTACATGACATTACTTAATATGATTATGATATAACTGGAATCTTACAGTATGTAAAAAAAGTACCATACCTGTTGTTGCCGACCAGTGTGTCTTGTCGCTGGTTTTATCTCCGCTCACCAGTTCAACATAACCTTCAATATGTGTGTTGGGATTCAGTGGAGATATCAGCAACTGCTGGGGTTCTCTCGTAGATACATGTTTTGTTATTTTCTGAGTAGAGCCAGGTAGACAATATGTGACTACTGCTTCGGTCACATCTGGTTCATCCTCCTTTCTACTCCATTTAAGTCTGATTGAATCTGGTGCAGTATCAATATTGCCCATCGACGGCCGTGAAGGAACTAGGTTGAAAAAGTGTGAATTGCGAATTTATTACTTGAAATGAAATTTAATGTCTCACATCAAGCTGTGTTTCCATAGTTTATACAAAAATTATAAAGGTAACTGATGTAATATATATATATATATATATATATATATATATATATATATATATATATATATATTACATCAGTCAAAACCTATTATGAGACAATTAAGTACGAATTGAAATGGACACAAGCATATATGTGCAATTACAAATAACGAATATTAAAAATAATAAGCTGATGCAGGCTAAACCTTATATTATGCATTACAGGTATAAACCTGTTCCGATTTCGATACACGCACGCACGCGCGCGCACACACAGATACACATATTCTCCGCCATGCGTTACCTGTATAGAACGTTTTCCTATCGCCACCTTGGCTTACGCGCCCTTCTACACTGGACTTTACTTCCGCGACGTACTTGGTCCCTTGATTAAGGTTAATAATTGATCCCGTGACTGCAGGATATTGAACCGTGGTCTTTCGCTTTGCTGATGGGTTGTTAGCACGCCAAAATACGATATCATACCTCTTGACCTTTCCCTCAACAGGCGGTCTCCAGGACACGTCGGCAAAGGTGGAAAACCCTTGCACTTGCACATTACTTACAGCAGGTGGTTCTGAAAAAAATTATGACAAGTGCATGTTGGCAGTAAGTCCTGCGTAAATACTCAATAAGCCAGTGAAAACAGGGCTACAGCAACCAGAAAGGAGATTCAACGGATGTATTAATTGCGTCTTCATAGTTATTTTAAAAATTAAAATGAACAATATTATTCAGAGATAATTGAGTCGTAATAGATTTATTTGAAATGGCTGTTTAACTTAACTTTTATAATCGTAACAGAAATTGCCAGGACTATGCACATACACAACCTGCAACAATGTTAACCACAAGGTTTTTTTCCCTTTTTTTAAACACTTAATGTACAATCCTGGGCTAATAACTAGTCAAGATAAAACAAGCGTAATCTGAACAAAACCACGGGTTCCTCTTGCTACCATTCTATCATTACCAAACAGTACAGAATGCTTGACAATAAGTTATTTACCTGTACTAAACAACGCCTCCTTGAAATCGTTATTCCTCGTTTCTTGAAAGACAGCCTTTACTTGTACCTTGTACTGTGACCCTGGAGTTAAAGGCTTAAGTATTGTTTCTAAGGCTTTAGAAGACGCTGTCAGGCAGGGTTCAGGTCTGCGAGCGTTCACTTCCCAACAATTGATTTCAAATGTGATGCCGTCATCATCCCTTTTATCTGGATAGGTCCAATAAATTTTTGCTATATTCGCTCCTGGGTTGACAGAAATACCCGTGGGAGGCAAAGGGGCTGTAAAATAACCAACAGGCAACGATAACAAAGTAACGATATCGCACAAATAAATGCTGTTCACTTATAACGTAAGAAGTACTTTACGCAGATGTATATCAATATGTCCCGCGCTAAATTGCTTTCAGCCCTGGAGGCTTAGACGTCTGGGATGCCCACTGAGGCTGCTAAACGATAGTTAAACACCCCCTATCAGCCTCAGCAGGCTTGACAGACATCTAAGCCGCCCAAGTTAATTGCAATTAAGCGAGAATCCCCTCGGAGATAGTTCGATCCAAAGTTAGTACGATAGGGTCTGGGAATGGTCTGTAAAATACGGACGTGTGTGAAGATTATACCTGTATTTAAAATGTGAGACCTAATGGCACTTCTCTTTGATCCCTTTATCGTCATGACGTCCATACGGTACCAAGTAGCAGGACGAAGACGAGTGTAGGTTGTGCAGAGTTCTTCTGTTACTTTTTCTTTTGTTTCATTGGTTGTCAAGTTAGTTAGAGTGACAACCATGTGATCATACTGGCCATCTGGCCTCTCCCATTCGATGTTGGCCGTTGAAGTAGATACTTGCGTGTGGAAAACCGTTGCAGGGGGTACAGGCTCTGCGAAAAATGTGGAATCAATTTTATATATTCCATCGGATGTAATGGCGTTCGGTTTGACTGTTATATACTGTACAATAATATACTGAACAAAAATATAAACGCACGAAACTAAAATGGTCAGTTGAAATGGATAATCATGAAATATGCCCAGGTTGATGGTTTATTTGTGAACTAATGGGTTTGTTTTGATCAATTATAGTGGTCTGGTTTCACTTGGCCGCTCCCCGTGAGTATACTCAAAGGTTCAGTTTTTACACCCATAAGACTAATGGAGCATGATGGAGTAGAGGTCAATCTGCAGGACCAATACACAGACACTCTCTACCGCCTAGGCAATAAAAGGACACACCAAAATGTGTATTTCTGCCACTTGTCAACATGCCACAGATGTCTGGAACCATGAGGGAGCATGCCATCAGCATGCTCAATGCTGGCTTGTCAGTAACAGAAGTTGCAGCATGCCTGAATGTGCATCATTCGTCTGGGAACACGCTTCAGAGACACTGGTAGCATTAGGAACCACCCTCATGCACCATGTCGCCCAACAAACACCTGTGGAATGTTCTGGATCTGAGTTTTCATGTTCCAGCTCTCTAGAATGTTCGCCAACTGCGAGTAGCACTCCAGGAGGAATGGGATAATATCCCTTAGGCCTCTGTTGACAACTTACTGATGTCCCTGCGCCGCTGGTGTTCTGCTCTGCACAAATTTAATGGTGTCTGTGAACTCAAGATGTTGACCCCCATGGTGTATTTGATGCCCTAACTCTTGGACTTTGCATTTTAACTTCCCCTAATGCTCTCAAAGTGATGTCTATTTGTCGATAAAAATATGCTGTTATTTTTGGCTATATACTCTAGTTCCATATATATATCTGTCATTCTTTGCTAGTGGTTACAAAATGTTGAATTTGACCGAAAATTTCAAACTCTCTCTGGGAAGCTGTAATTTTGCGATGTGATAGCTACACCATCACAGTTTATCATTTCATAAAAAGGGAAACAGCAGCTGCCCTTTTTAGGGCACACAGGAGAGTTGAACAGCTATACCCACCAAATCCAAGACGCGTTACCCTGGGTAATATATTTTGCACAAACTAATGAAAGTCTAATGGAATGTTTTCAGTTTTAGTTTAAATCATAAGGGG